CTCAGGTGAGCGATGTGGCCCATGGGCCTCTTTTTTTTTTTTTTTTTTACCAAATTTAGAACAATATAATTCATTTAAACAATTTCACTTTTAATTACTGTATCAATGTGCAAGCATTTCCCTGAAATTGTCGAATGACCGGAAAGCTGTAATATTCGATGGTGAGCGTTTGCAGTGAGTGGGCGCGTGAACGTTATAAAAGATATCAATAAAATATAACAATTTTTTTCCCTCGATATTTACTTCTTTTGTAAACAGTGGTTTGTTTTTAATTTAAACATTTCTCCAATTACAGAAGATGGAATGTGCATGGTGATGAACTTCACAAAACAATTACAACGGGGGGGGGGGGTATCACTAAAACTTATTATTCTCAATAATACTCAAGAAAAAAATCAATGCCAAGTTTACTTGAATATATTCTGTTTCTTTGTGTATTAAGTATTAGTCGCGGTCATTTCCTGTGTATAGGGATTAGCAGAGCAAGAGCTAGCTGCAATAATGTAGCCCTATCCTATTTTTTTTTTTTTTTTTTTTTTTTTTTTGGGAGAGGGCTACAACTCCTTAGGATCTCCGTAATGGTGCAAGTGCGGGAGTGATTCACTACCGCACAGAGTTCGGCTCAAATTATCAGTAAGTGGGTATTTTATTAACATATCTTACCTGAACTCATAAAATGTAGTTATGCAAGACATGAACTGATCCAAAAATATACAGAACAATCCGTATATCGGTTATTTTTCGTGTATGTCAACATCACAACTTGAATTTATCCGCCATGTTTACTGACCTTGATCGATTTTATTTTGGGACAACCAATGAGAATACGGGATCTAGGGGAGCGGATAGTTGAGGATTTCCCTTATTTTAAGCATAAATATCACTGTTTATGAAAAAATATCCCATGGAATGCTATTATTTATCGATGTTTAGTGATATCATACAACACAAACATTTATCAACACCGACATTTACTTTATCAAGTGATTCTAAATTTCAAGCGCAAGTCTCAGTGCATCACGCGAGAACTGTCATGGCTGCTGAGGAGAACGACTGGTAAACACGCAGATTTATTTTACTTGGTTTTCGCGTATAAAGGGCTATGATGTTGATAGTGAATAAAAATTCCGTCTCATTGGAAGTAAGTTGAATGCAAAAACAATTTATTTTGCCTGCAGTCGCCCGTATCTAAAAAATATATTTGCACCATTACGGAGATGCAGTGGAATTGTAGCCCTCTCCTGAAAATATCAGATTAAAAAAAATCGGAGAGGGCTACATTATTGCAGCTAAGCAAGAGCAGGAAACGGCATGCCCTAGGGGTTTCACACCTGTCCTAGAGTACCTGTGGTAAATTTCTCTGCATGTGCAAGGCGTTGTCTAGCCATACAACACACCAGTCCCTTCAACGTTTCATTATTTCATTATTTCTTCATTTTCAAATGTAACTACAACCATGAAAGTTACGCGAGTCAATATATACTTTTTTTTTTTACCCTGAGTGTATATTAAAAGGAAAAAGATCAATCATACTTTTAAAACAAATTAATAGAGTTTAAATGAAATAAAATAGATCAAATCAAATTATGTTTTATTACTTTTTTTTTTAAATGCCGACGGGCTTGGTATTTATGTTTCTGTTTAATATATATGTACATGTACATGTGCATGTATTATGCAAGTAGAATGTAAAATAATAATAATAAAAAAAAACGTACAGAATGTTACGGCACGTGCAACGTTTTTCCTTCGGTCAGTTTATTGATTTATCGAGTCCATCGATTAAAACAAAATATTCATGATAGAATTTCAATGAAATGAATTGCTTCTGGATTATTTTTTTTCCAGTTTCAATATGTCGTTTCTGTGAACAGATAATATACTGTAGCCGATTTATCAGTTTATTGTCCAGTTGTGGACTTTGACTAATTCTACGATCAAGTTTCTGAAAAACACCGAAATAGTGACAGCCACAGACACTATTTAAGGTCTTTCGTTTAAATAGGACGATTAAAGACAAAAATATCTACCGAAACAAGATCATCGTCGCAAGCCACGGGTTTTGTGTCCATTCTATTTCCACAAACCCGTGGCTGCCTCCTACCAAATTCTCTCGTTCTCGCGACTGAATCATTGAATATTTATTAAGTGACGCCAGGTTTACCCTGACCAATGAAATCACTCTGTAGCAATTTTTGGTACGCTTAAATGGCGGCGCCCATAATGAAATCATTTTGCTATGCGTGGCAGATTTATTGAAAAAAAAATACGATAGATCCTGAAGAACAGATGTGAGTAACGTATATTCTAAAATACTTACAAGGTTTTACATTAAAATACAGGGTTTCGAATGTAGACGTTGTGTGAGAACGCTGAATAGCGTTACTCGTTAAGAAAGGAAATTCGAACTGAAGTTGATGTACAGTTCGTGGTTATGGTTACATCCAAATACAAGATAGACTGATCATTTTCATTGGTTCTGACTTGAAGCGTCAGATGTTATTCCATTGGTTGAATGTATGTTATTAATATTCATGAGAACGAGAGAAATTTGAAGGAGGCAGCCACGGGTTTGTGGAAATAGAATGGACACAAAACTCGTGGCTTGCGACGATGAAACAAGATATAATAACATATTTTGGTGACATGTGGTAGGTACATGTATATGATATTTTAGGCCCGATATCCAAGAGGGGTCCAGTGTTAACAAATGGAAGTGACTTACCTTCTCTATTTCATAATACCGCGGGTATGATTTTTTAATAAAACGTTAATTCTACGTTATTTTTATGGATTTTTCATATGGAATACATTGTAATATGTACTAGAAGATTAATTTATGGAAAAAGACGAATAAAAATATTCTTGGACCCCGGGGTGTATATATTGGGGGGGGGGTGTCCTGTCCACAAGCACCTGTGCAGCATTCAAGCTTAAAAGACCATTCAAACAATACGAATCAGGAACAGTGCAAATCTTTTGAAATCAGAGGTAGAATCAAGTGCCATGGATCTGTCATGTTGTAAATTTTGAACTTACCGGTTGTCAGTATTTACTGCCACCCGGTAAATTCAAAATTTGTAGCATGAGAGATCCTTTTCATGCTAGCACTTACCCCGAAACGAGACCTTATACGGTCTCATTCAAAGGACCAATCTCCACGTTTTACTACTTATCCAAACTGGGCATAAAACATTCTCGATGATTTTTTTAATCATTATGTTGAACCTAACAAATTATTCCGACTCGCTGTATGATCTGAAAAAACATAACTGAAGTTATCCATTCAGAAACTCACAGACTGGGATTGCTTTTAACCAGTGTGTGTTATGGCCTTGATGCAAGGTCATTTGGTCGAGTCAAGGTCACTGACAGAGAAACTGTAATTTCGCTACCGTATTTGTACTAGTGAAACATTGCTGGTATCATGCAGAGTGTGACATGGCCTTGACTCAAGTTCAAGGTCACTAAGGATAAGATTTTTGACTGTATGTATGGACTAAAAGAACATGACGTGTCACTGTGAACTTTTCAAGTCGGTAACACACAGATTGGGTTTTATGACAAGAGTGTGTCATGGTTTGACGTAAGACATTTGGAATGTTCAAGGTCACGTACATTCCTTTACAGTTTTTCCTAGCGAAATATTGTAAGTTGCTTCCCCTTACAAGATTGCTTACATGTATAACTTTAGAATGTGGCATGACTTTGACTCAAGGTCACTTCTTCCTTCCGCAGCTCCAACGGAAGACCTATTCGTTGCTTTGCAACGAGCTCGCTCTAGTTTTTATAGAAATTGTAAACGACTTCCGTTCGTTGACCATTGAAATGACGAGTTGCGGGTGTTAAACATGAAAATTCCCAGGACTGGAACTACAATGGGACACAAATTAGCGATGTATCAATTAATTAATAATCTCTGAAGATATGGAAACCTTAACTTCCAGTCGGTAAGTAGCTTTCATCTTTATTTTTTGAGGATTAATCATTTCCCATCGAGGCCGGTGTCGAAAGTCGTCTGTCGAAATTCCCAACCTTGTTCTCTTTTAGTTTCAGAGTGTGAATTTTTATAAAAGGTTGTAATACTTTGTGAATGTGCCATAGAAAAATATTTTATTAAAAAAAGAAGTCAAAGAACCCTTGGGGTACGGAACACGGGGGGGGGGTCCCGTCCCCAAGCACCTGTGACATTGTTAATATGATTCGTTTTTATCATATGAGTAAATTATACACATAAATCATTTCTTTATTGCAAATGCTGTTCCAGCAACCAATACATGTATTTTTTTTCTCAATCTTCATCATTCACATATTGAAAAATGAATTAATTTGTCACTCACCGCTCCAACGTTTATCGTATCCATCTTTTGCAATGCACAATGAATTATTTTATAGACTAATTTATATACCCAGGGATATGAGATTTCCCGAAAGAACTATTTAAAGGTTGCAAAACTTTGGATTTTCCTTTCATTTATTTATATTATTTTCTAGGTACGTAGTTTCTCTTTTTTTTTCTTTCCAGAAATTGACCAAGCTCTAAAAATAGCTCAGAATTTTTACCTGAGCAAAGAAAGATAACTCTAATTAAAACAGGAAGGAAAAAAGAAAGCTTCGTCAAAACGAAAGTAGATACTTCCAGATGAGAAATTGATCCTTCAAGGCAAGTTGTCAATGCGTATATTTCATATAATTTGATTACTGAATGACCGTTCTTATTGCTAGAATAAAAAAAAGAAGACAAAGAAAAACCAAACAAAATTTGACGACAACACACTTTTAAGTCGATATAGTGTTCTGTGATTTTCTGGAAATGCCATTTTTTTCAGAATTTGTACCCCTCGATCTCTTAAAGAGACAATATTGATAACTTCTGCACATTAAAATAACGATTTTCCATATGCATGCTTAAATTATGATTGCTGAATTAATTGTCTAGTAATACATGCAAGTATTTTACATTTGTTATATATAAATGTATTTATTTGCTGTCCAGAAAAATGCCAAGGTCAAAAAAAGGCAGTCGACCAGTAACTGCAAAATCTGCTGACCAGAATCAAAAGTCAAAAGCAAAGAATAATTTTACTGAATCAAAAAATCCACTAGTGGAAGGACAAAAAGACCCCCCTCCGTCAGAATTTCCTGTAACTCCAAAATCAGAAGAGTCCGAACAGGTGGAGGAAAAAGAATCAGTTGAAGTGGTTAATTCAGAGGAACAGAGGGAGAAGTCAGATGTTGAAGGAAAATCGGATGAACATGGAACAGAGGGGCAGAGAAAAACAAAGAGAAAAGGGAAAAGTAAGCCACAAAGCAATCAAGCTCTTGAAGTTGAAAAGCAAGTAGAAGAAATAAATAAACTTGATAAACCTCAGGATAGGATTTGGGATCAAATTGAACGTCATTCCAAAGGATGCCCAGAACCCATTGTCAGCTTCTTTGACAAATTAGCCCATGGAAAACACTGGACATTTTTAAAAGATCTCAAAATGGAAGATATTAAACATGTTTTAGAATTATGCAAGGTACATGTACAAGATATAATATTAAAGCTATATGATATCATTTATTTAAATGATACATGTATTTATCATTCTGATAAATATTGAAAGTCTTTATTATTTTATTCAATTTAATTATTGCAGAATTCACATTGCTCAAACTTGCAAAGAAATAAGGAGGACAATCAAGAAAGTAAACAAGACCAAACAGGGTAATTTATGATTTTGAATTTTACATAAATGTGTATTTCAGTTTTATGAACATCTGTATTTCTCACTGCCTGCTTGAGGATTAGATGCATGGTTCCCATTTTTTATGAGAGGAACATAATAACAAAATTGATTTGACCTCAATTTGCAATGCTGTGTAAAAATTATATTTGACTTCACAATGATGACTACAAAAAGAGTTTTCATGTAAGCAATAAAACGCCTTCTTTGGTTGTTAGTATGGGAATTAATGCTGCACGGTTGCAGAAAAAAATACATAACCCATGTAATCAGGTTTGTAATTTTTTCAATAGTAGCTGCATCATTTGATTAATTCCCATACTAACTAACAGAGAAAGACATTTTATTGTTTACATTTATGTCTGTACAAATTATCATATGAAGTTGGATTAAATAGCTTAAATATAGTTTTATTGATATGTATGTCATTGTATGTTTCACTGATGGAAGAGCTGCATCTTAACAAGTCTATGCAGTTGGCTTGCTTATTGGCGTTTACCAATTGATAAATGACCATGGTTTTCAAAAGAAATAAAGGAAATAATATTCACTGGATGTCAATATTTATCAACAATTTTATTAGGCAGCAAGAGAAGATGACTAATTATCAAGAGTAATGTTTAAATTTAATTTGAAATATAACTCCACCTGCAATGTAACTGTGTTTGTGTGATCTAATAAAACTAAGAACAGTTGTTGAATAAAATCCTATCAATTAATCCTCATCAATTCTAAGTTGAAAATTTAGTATTGATGCCACTATATAAAGCTAGGAAAAGCAAACAAAACAAGAAGACAAATGTCCAAGTGAGCTTTTTCTGCTAAATGTGTTGTTTCAAACCAGTTGTCTAAAGATTTAAGCCTCATCAATAGAGTATTGTGGTTTCATTGCTAGAACAACCTTATGAATATTAATACAACTTACACTTTCTCCTGAATATGTTTTGTTTTATACAGAGATAAAAAAGGAAGATCAAGAAAAAGTGTTGATAAAACTAAGGCTGAAAATCAAGAGGAATTAAAGAAAAAGGAATATGAAACAGCCGAATTAAAGACAGAAATAGCTGGATTAAAGAAAGAAATGGTTGGATTAAGGAAAAGGTATTAAAAAAAACTTAGATGATAATGCATTTATTTAAAAAAAATATGTACACAGTTGAACTTTGGTATCTGGATATGTCAAAGTCAAGTGTGTTGGAGTCCCAACCACTTTTTATGCCCCGCGATGTTTTATTCCTGTCTGACCATCTGTCATTCTGTATATCCATCATAAACTTTAACCTTCCTAATAACTTTTGAACTACAGAACTTAGAGACCTATTTTGACAAAGTTTTATGTACAAGAAAACTTTAATATTTTTCATCAAAATTTCAACTTGCCCATTTTTCTAAAGAAAAAAAAATTAAAAAATGAATTAAAATTTAAATGGTTTTGGATTGGTGTTCTATATATACATGAATATATAATGTATACATTGTCTGGAAACTCCACATGGTGTTCAGTCACATGGTGGTGTTCAGTCACATGGAAAATAATTTAATTATATTCTTCTGAATGAAATCATTATTTATCTTGCTATTATGGATGGTCTTTGTTGTTGTTCAATGTAATGTTGAAATGTTGTACAGTACATCTCGGTGATTGCTGTGAATGATAAATAGATAGCAATGGCCGAGATGTTGCAGGTAGTTCTTTTTATGTATCATAATATTATGGGATGGGCATTTCGTAATGAATTTGTTATTATAATATTTTATTCATATGAAATTAATTTAATCATTGCTATGATAAATCACATGCATTGCCTTGGTAGTTATAAGTATTTCCTGTTCATGCAGTGCAGTTTCATACATTTCAAAGGGGTGAGGGGTCCACCTCACTCTGTTTATGGTTCAAATGCATGCCTATATTGATGTAAAATGAATTTATCAGTATGCTAACTGTTAACAAATCATTGAGAGGGCACCAAGAACAATTATGGATATTCCTTATATTATTACAAGGTACATGTCGGTACACATACAATGTAATTCATACATTTCAGACAGGAACGCATATGTGGCATATTTCTGATAGGTATAAGGGAAACTGCCCAACCACATATGCAGTAGGTTTGTCCAGTTTCACAGTTATTTTGTAATTTGTTGAAACCCCTTCAAATCATTGCCTTTTCATTAGAAATGGCCACACTCGGGGCATTGGTGTTTATCAAACAGATCTTTTTCTTTATGTATTTCAACCTCAATATCTTATCTTTAAGTTTTTTTCTTGGTCCCATAGAGTTCAATATAAAGAGGTTTGACAGTACTTAGTTTAGGCTATTCAAATTTTAGTATAAGTGTAGACACTGGACAATTTGGCTCAGATAAGAATTAGCACTTTAAGTAATATAATAAGTCTATGTATACATGTATAATAAAATCAATTTTTTTTGTGTTCATGAATTATCTTACTAATGATTGTGGCATTGGTACGAATTATTTTAGGAATGACTCTAATTCTTGGCCAAATTATTCGAGTATAACCTGGTTTGGGTCAGTTTACGCTTTATAATCCACGAAGCGGATTATAAAACAGCGTAAACTGACCCAAACCAGGTTTTACTCGAATAATTTGGCCAAGAATTAGAGTCATTCCTTATAATTTAATTTTAAAATCATTAAATAACTATGGGTGTAAAATTTCGTTGCTTTTTATTAGTTCAAATTCAATAATCTAGCAGTTTATTTTTATTTTATCTTATCCTTCTGTGGATCCTTTACAATGTTGTATTATACTCAGGTGACCATTAAGGCCCTTAGGCCTCTTGTCATTTTTAAAATATCACCTGCAAAAAATATTGCGTTCATTCAAGGGATAAATTACAGTATATCATTGTTGAAAATGTTGTAAATACTTTATTAGAAGTTCACTAATCCTGATATTTTTACTGTACAAATTATAGCTTAGAGACAAAAGAAAAGGAGGTTGAACAATTACAAACTGAAAAAACTGCATCACAACAGAATGTTGAAAAGATTTATAAACAGTAAGTTTATACTTTATATTCTCAAAGATCACTGAACCATCTGTCATATACATGTATACAGTGCTATGGAATTTTAGTTGAGTGTCTTTGTTAAGCATAAGCTTATTCAATGAAAACATTGTGTATATGAAACTCATGATCGGACAGATCTTTAGCTCACCTCAATGAAGTTGGGGGAGCTTATGTAATACCCTCGGCGTCGGCGTCCCAGGTTAAAGTTTGTGGAGCAGTTTTCTTTTGAAGTACTTCTATGCCCTATATCAATCAGAGGTGCATGGAGGATGCCTCTAGTGTGTTTTATTGTACCAGTCAAGGTTTCAGATGCTGCAATTTCAGCTAAAGAATGACCAGGTTAATGTTTTTGGAGCAGGTTACTGTTTTTGGAGCAGGTCAAAGTTTTGGAGCAGATCTCATTTCCAAGTAAATGTAAGTCCTGTGTTGACCAAAAATTGCATGGATGATACATCTAAGGATGCACACTACTGGACTTGCTTCGGATGCTGGATCTGACCTACATTTTCCGGATGAGTGACCAGCTTAAAGGTTTAGGAGCAGATCTCATTTCCAAGTAAATGTAAGTCCTATGTTGACCAAACTTACATGGATGATATATCTAAGGATGCACACTACTGGACTTGCTTGGGATGCTGAATCTGACCTACATTTTCCGGATTAGTGACCAGGTTAATGTTTTTGGAGCATGTCCATTGCCAAGAAACTGTAAGGCCTATCTGAACCAAACTTGCATCAAGGGATGGACTCTCTCAAACTTGCTTCAGATGCTGGGTTTGACTTACATTTTCTGGATGAGTGACTAGTTTAATGTTTTTAGATAAATCCATTCTCAAGTATCTGAAAGCCCTATCAGACCAAAATTGCATAAATGTTGCATCTAGGGATACACACTACTAGATTATAAGTTTAGTGTGGGACTTCACCATACGTAAAGACAACATTGTTGAGGTGAGCTCTGTAATCTCTGATTACCTTTGTTTTTCTTTTAAAGGTTGAGTCGCAGAGATGAAGAGTTTCATCATATTCAGAATGAATATCTTAAAGTAGAACAGAATGTGAGATCTCTAAATATACGGATCAGAGAGGAACAAGATAAATACCTTAAGCTAGAGGAAGCCAACAAAGAGATAGCTAAGGAGAGGGATGAGTTCAAGGACAGGTAAGGTCAAAGTTTAGGGAAAAAAAAGTCTAAAAGTAATCAAGACAAAAAAAAAATAAATAAATAAATACAAGGTTGTAAGTGGAGTTGGGAGAGGTTATTTATATAGCTGTTTTAGTAAAAATTCAGACATAGGAATACCTACCTGGTATTTAACTTTTCAAAGTGGAAGCTGAATTTTTAGGTCACCTCGACAAAGTTGAGATGATCTTTATCTTATGTTAGCCCCCTCCCCCCCCCCCCAACTTGCATGCATAATGCATCTAGGAATACACACTATCAGACTTGCTTTGGATGCTGGATCTGACCTACATTTTCTGGATGAATGATCAAATTAAAGTTTTTGGAGGAGGCCCATTCTTAAGTAACAATAAGCGTATGGTGAATAAACTTGCATGATTACAGGGTTGTCCCTAAGACCCAGAGGCTGGGGAATTTCCTCTCCAATAATGATTTTATCCCCTGGTTACTATGGTATTTCCCCTCAATCTCAGACAGTCGCCTGCTTGGCGCAGTGGTAGAGCATCTGTTCTAGAGTCGCAGAGTAAGGAGTTGATCCTTACGTAGTGGGTTCGAATCCCACTGTGGGATGTGGAGGCCGGTCCTTCGGATGAGACCATATAAACCGAGGTTCCGTGTCGCAGTAGGTGCTGGCATGAAAAAGATCCCTCACTGCTCAATGGCCGTAAGTACCCAGCATAGGTCAAAATTTGCATCTCTCCTCTGGCAAATGACTGATGTGAGTGAAAAATTCTTGAGAGGGATGTTAAACAACAAACAAACAATCTTAGACAAATATAAAACAATACTAATGATTAGCATTTTGATGTTTTAAATATTAGGCTGTGGCTTAGTTTATCATTCATTAAAAAAATACAGTGAGCAATTATATTTTGACTGTCAATGTGAACACCTCTAGATCCAAAAGATACTTTAAGTGACTTGGTACCTTTTCTGAAAAACCAAGCGGGAGTATTTGTCCATTTTGGACAGTTATAGTTTTTGGTCAGTCTGTCTGTCTGATTGTCCACAAAACTTTAACCTTGCCCATAGCTTTTGATTTGTTGCATGAAGCTAGGACTTTCATATTTCACATGTGCTTTCCTTGAGACAATGCCTTTCTTTGGGTATCAACATATTTGACCTCTTGACTTTGACCTTTGAGTTTGGCCCACTTTTGCAATTTTTACTGAACCTTGGCCATAAATTTTGAACAGTTGGTCCTAGGGTTTTCATATTTCACAGGTATATTCCTTGTCACAAGACCTTTCCTTAAGTACCAATATTTTTGACCTCATGGCCTTGACCCTGGTGTTTGACCTTCTTTTGAAAAACTTGACCATAACTTTTGAATGGTTAGTGCTAGGGCTTTCATATTTATAGGTGTATTACTTGTGACAAGACCTTTCTGACCTCATGACTTGACCTTAGAGGATGACCTCCTTTTGAAAAACATAAACTTTCACCATAATTTCTGAATGATTTTTGCAAAAGCTTTCATATTTCACATGTGTATTCCTTGTGACAAGAACTTTCTTTGGCTACCAACATTTTTTGCCTTGACCTTGAACTTTGACTAGCATTTGAGAAACTTTAACCTTGGGCATGAGCTTTCATATGTTGGGGGGGGGGGGGGGGGGGGCATCAGTGTTTCACAAACATATTTTGACTGAAATATTTTCTAGTTTTTCTTTGTATTTTTTTTCATCAAAGTTTGAATGTAAACTCCAGGAATAAGCCATTTGACAGAATTGTATACGATGCAGAGTATTCAGGAAATAGATTAATCCTGATCAAGATTTTCATATTGAATGGCTTATGATTCATTTGCATTGAAAGCATTTCTTCTATTTCTTAGTAGGTAATGGCTTATTTACTAAGCATTTATCCACTGCTTCTTTAGATTCAGTAAATTAGCTGGAGCCAAGCTGACGGCAGGAAATGCCCGTATTCAGGACCTGAGCGACATCAATCGTCCCCAAAAACTTGGAGAGAAATACTCCGAACTCTACGACAATGAGTGGACTGATGCACTGGAGGAAATTCAGGAGAATGAAGATTTGAATGAAAAAGAAGCTGTGCTGAAATTACTGGAACTATTTAAAGTGAGCAATCAAGATTTTCTTTCATCTGAATAAAAAGCAGAATGATAAATAATAAATAGGTTATACTATTGAAAATATAGTCAAATGATAATATCATTGGGTAAAATTTTTGAATTAATGAAAGAATTAAAAAATGTGCAGGAAAAAGCAACATTTTAATTTTAATTAGTAATTAAGTGTTGTCAGTGAGTACCTGGTTAACAGGTTAGTTGCTGAATGATGCAGCTATTGATTAGTAAAACTGCTACTCAGTTACTTGGATATAATGGTCTACAAGAAGTAGGTAAGAAATTTTATTTTGTTTATACGAATACTAACACATACCCCCCCCCCCCCCCCCCCCCCCTTTGATGACGATTACATTTATTTAATGTTAAGACTTGATTTAGCATTTCATACCAATTTGTTGTTTTTTTTTTATTACTCTTCGTTTAAGTTTTCCCAGGTTATCTAATTGATAGCATTGATTGCCAAGGGGTATACAAGTTGAGAAATATTACATTTTACAGCTACTGTTGATTATATATATACAACCAGCAATAAAAAAAGTAAACAATTGAGAAACTTTCCATTTGACAATGCTGATATTAATATTTCATTTTGTTTGAAGATTATGAAATTTCTTGTACTCTCTTCATGCATTTTAACATAAACAAAATCTACAAAGATACATTAACCTATATCCAATGCATCCCTGGGTTATTCCCCTTTTCTGTTTCATCTGACATTGTTCTATTTCCTGTTTTCAGTCCTGTGTTTCTTTTTGCCAAATGAAAGCAGAGGAGCAGGAGATGAGGTTCATGTCTGCTGTCAGACAGGCTGTAGATCTGAATGGGGGAGGAGGGATGTGTAATGGCTCAGTGGAGGGGTCAGAACAGGTAAGGAGGCAAAGAAAGTTAATTCATTTATTGTACCGGGTATCAAGACTTACATACCTACCTCATTCTTAGACTAATGAAAATTGAATACAACTTGGTGCATTTTTCTCCTGTTGATCTTTTGAATGTCTTTGATAATTTTTAATAACATGATTAGGAAAAAATAGTAATTTGTATAATTTTAAAGATTTATTTGCTCTCCTTATTAATAATTTTTTTTTAGGAGAGTGAGGTACATATTCTATCACCTAGTGATTCCAAAATGCTCAAAGATTTTCTTAAAGCTAAAGGAGGAACCACACTCACATATCTTCAGCGGGTATGTAAAATCAGATATCATGACTGATTCACCTAAATGTTTTGATGCATTTCAGATATCATAACTGATTCACCTAAATGTTTTGATGCATTTCAAAGAAGCTTATAACCTTATAATATTTTGAAAAACTGTTAAACAAATTGAAAAGCAAAATGATGGTAGCCAGGAACCTATGTATGATTCTGTGATTACCCTTTAGGTGTTCCAGACAGAGTATCCTGCCTATGCAGAATCAGGGCCTAAAGTGCAGGAATTCCTAAGCCAGAGTATCGAGGTGTGCTGGTTCTCCGCTATACAAGATCCACCATTAGCATTTGACTGGAATTTTCCAGAGGGCTCAGAAATGGTTGATAAATATGTCAAGGTGTTCACTAAGTCAGGAACTAAAATTGACTTTGTTGTTTGGCCTGTGTTGAAGTTACATGTTGATGGTGATGTCCTCTGTAAGGGTGTTATACAGCCCATTCCAGAAGGAAAGACTAAAAAAAAGAAAAAAGATTCAGAATCTTAAGTGCAGGGATAATGTAGTTAGTCTGTTTTGTATTTTGAGGTTATAAATGATAGTTTTTGATACAATATTTCAAGGATAATAAGTTTTAAATAGTTTAATATTTTTGTTCATATTTTAAAATATATATTATGTTTCTTTTGCAGACAATTTTTTTTTGTTAAATATAGTCAAGACTAGGGTTGTCATTGATGAAACTTTTTTTCAGTATATTGATTCATAAAAGTATGGATAAATGGATACACTGATCAACTATAACTTTTTTTAATACAATTTTTTTTTAAAACAAAGAGATTTATCACACTGATAGGTAATCTCTATTAAGGTACATTGTTCTTTATTGAAAATGACCAAAGCAAATAGAATTGTACAGGAAGCAATGTTTAATTGATCAAGTTCAACAAACTAAAAGATGTACAAGAGGAAAGAAAAAAAATTTAAAAGAGGACTTTTAAAAGAGAAATATGGTATCAATGAACTTTCACCTAAACATTAAAAAACAAGAGACCCTGAGCCAAATATAAGTAAATGTGAAACCAGACAGACAAAAATAAAAGTGAAAATTTTCAGAAATTTCATAATAATAAAACAGTAAGAAATGTATCAATATTCTAAAAAAAAATTATTGATATTGTTTTGAAGCAATTTGAATCAATGGTACATGTACATTGATATTAAGTCTATCAATGACAACTATAGTTGAGACTTTAAATTCTTTCACTCAAAATTGTGTGAGGTACGTTCCAAACAGTGAAGTGTATATGCCTCAGAGACATAAATGAGGTCTTTTGAATACGCAAACTATTTAAAGTGTCTTTGTTCAGCATCACATGTGTACTCAGAATTTATATCAGAAATATTAGGTCTTTTACGATTGAAATGATGAGTGTAATGGTTTGTTTGAATTTTTTAATGTAAGAGTCATATTTCCCATTGATGATGTATATTTCTGTTTTTCATTAGTTCCTCTGAATGAAAGGTTCAAGTTAGAAAATTTCTGAGCATCTGTCTTCTGACATCTGTATGTCTGTGCATTCTGTTAGCTTTTCACATTTTTAGCTCTACTGGTCAGAGACCAGAAGAGCTTATGCGATAGGAAGGTGTCTGGCATCTGTCCGTCTGTCTGTCTAGCTGTCAATCTGTCTGTAAATAATTTTTCAAAACGCTACTTCTCCTACAGTTTTGGTCTGATTTTAATATAACTTGGCACACAAGTAGACTACACTAAGATACATAATCAGGTGCATAGGTTTTTTATTTTGATGAATGGTGTTGCCATGGTTACTAAAAATAGAAATTTCTGTGAAATTCGTTTAAAACGCTACCCCTCCTACAGTTTTCATTTGATTTCAATATAACTGGGCACACAAATAGATTACACTAATGCCCTGTTCACACGGAAAGCTTAATTCGAACTAAACGAAAGTTACTACGAATTAAATTTGATCCACATTCACACGGAGAATTTAATGCGAATTAGTTTGATTCAAATTAGTTTACTGCGCATTGAATTACTTCGCATTAGCTCCGTGTGAACGCTAAGCAAAGCTAATTCGAATTAAATTTTGACGCATGTGTAAGGGCAGAATTAAGTCACAGGCCACATGTCGGTGGTCAAATAAAGGTACTTGTGCTATTTTTTAGTGGAAAACAAAGGAAAATGATGTTAATCACATGAAATTTGTACAGACACTATGACATTATGTCAAATGTATATCTGCTGTGCACAATATGACATGATTTGTAAATGACGTCATAATAGCCTCACTGTTTGTTGAAATGATGACCGCCGGGGATAGGGACAGGCCACAATGGGGGATCGAAAATTTTACATAGGAAGATATAGGAAAATATCTTCTTCTCAAGAACTGAAAATCGTGTTTAGTCATTTTGATATGATATCATCCTCAGGTAGTGTAAATTCAATTTTGTTCAAATAATGATTCCTGGGGGTAGGGTGGGGACCAATGGGGGGTAGAAAGTTTTACATAAGAACACATAGAAAAAATATTTTTTCTCAAGAACAGAAAAGCTATGTTTAGTCATATTGATTTATCCTCAGGTAGTGTAGATTCAAGTTTGTTCAATGATGACCCCTGGGATAGGGAGGAGCGACAATGGGGATCAAATTTTTACAAAGGAATATATGGGAAAAATTTTTGAAAATCTTCTCAAGTACAACAAAGCCATTTGCTATACATGTATTGACATGGAAGCATCATCAGGTAGTTTAAAATTCAAGCCCCAGCCCCCCCCCCCCCCACTAATATTTTCAATGCTGAACTGATTTGTGCTTTTGTCTAGCCAATGTGCTCAGGTGAGCGATGTGGCCCATGGGCCTCTTGTTTATTTTGATGAACATTGTTGCCATGTTTACTAAAAATAGAAATTTCTGTGAAATTCCTTTAAAACCTTACTTCTCCTACAGTTTTAATTTGATTTCAATATAACTTGGCACACAAGTAGACTACACTAAGATACATTATTTAGTGCATCGGTTTTTTGATTTTGGTGAAAGGTGTTGCCATGGTTACTAAAAATAGAATTTTTTTGTGAAATTCGTTTAATATGCTACTTCTCCTACAGTTTTTGTCTGATTTCAATATAACTTGGCACACAAGTAGACTACACTAAGATACATAACTTAGTGCATGGGTTGTTGCCATGGTTACTAAAAATAGAAATTTCTGTGAAATTCCTTTAAAACGCTACTCCTCCTATAGTTTTGGTCTGATTTCAAAAGTTCTTGGCACACAAGTAGACTACACTGAGGTACATAATTCTGATTATTGGCTTTTGATTTTGGTGAAGTGTTGCCATGGTTATTAGAAATACAAATTTCTGTGAAATACATTCAAAATGCTGCTCCTTCTATACTTTTTGCTTTAATTTCAGTGTAACTTGGCATGCAAATAGACTACATAATTGTCTTTATCAGTTGTTTTGATTTTGATGAATGATGTTGCCATGGTTACTAAAATCAAAATTTCTGTTAAAATCTTTTAAAAGGTTACTCTTCCTACAGTTTTAGTCTGATAGCAATAAATCTTGCCACAAAAAGAGACTAAACCAAGTGATCATTACTCTATTGCTGTAACAAAGTTTCAAGTCCAAGTGCTACTTTTCTTTTCCTTTGTTATAAGTACAAACTAGTAGAGCTACAGTCTCATCAGAGACTTCTGGTTTGATTTCTTCTCCAGAACCAGTTGAACCAATCTAAAACAAAGTTGCTATACTCAGCATTTTTGGGTAAAAGGAATTTCAGTTTGTTCAAATAAAGAGCCTAATTATCCTTTTGAATGGGGAAATAATCAAGAAGCAAAATACCAGTAGATTGTTGTCCTAAGAAATCTGAAAACCACTGTGATAGAAAAGATAAAATCCCTGTAAAAACTTCCTGATGTAGTGTAAATTCAAATTTGTTCAAATCATGGCCTGCTAAGTAAGGTACACTGTAGGAAAAGGGTATCAAATTCTTAGAAATACATCAGAAAAAAATCTCATGAACAGCAGGGCCATCGAGCATCATGAGGCAGAGCATTTTCAAATTTGTTCATATCATGGCCCCTGGGGGTAGGGTAAAGCAACAATAGGGAGACTGGATTTTACTTAGGAATACATAGGAAATAAAAAAAACTTTTCTGGTGAAGCATTGCTACACTTAATCAAATTAAAATTCAAAGATTCTTCTTTTGTGTGGATTTTTTTTCCCTAAAATTTTTGACTTCGGGTTAGGATGGGCTAAAATCAGGGATCAAATTTCACATAATGCATGTATACAGATCAAGGTAAAAAAATCTTTAAAATATTTTCTTCCACAGAACATCAAGGCTATATTAGTAAGTGATGAATTGAAGTATATCTCATTTGTGAATTCATTTAAATCATTACATCATAAAATGGGGTCATAATTTTTCATGAGGATAGAAAGAGGGGAAATTTAAAAAAAAAATCTTCTGCAGAACAACAGGGCTGATTTGTCTCTGGTGAGCATTGTGGCAGGTGGTCTTTTTGTCTCTTTTCTTAAATTTCTTCTGTATGTTTTCCTTTTTTTCTTGTGGTTTTTATGTCAGCAAGTACATGTATTAAAAGAGTATGTTATGTGCTGCCAAAATGTCCTTGCTTGATTTTGTTGATGTTTTTTTAATTGAGAGATATTTTTCAAATTGTTTTATTAGAAATAGTCCCCTTCTTGACCAATGAGTAAAAGTTTCTGCAGCTACTATTTGTTTGTCTGTATAGGAATGTTTGGAAGGTTATTTTATCTTCAACTTTAGAATAATTAACTTCAACCTTTTCAAGAGAATGTATGTGTAGTGAAAATTTGCTGTAAAGTTTTGGTAGCTTATTTAAAAGAGAGAGAATTAAGGAATTAATCTAAATTGTGGTAGAAATTCACAAACAAATATACCCCTGAACAGCATTTAAAAAAATAAATAATTGTACACATATACAACTATTTCTTATTGATAAGAATACCGGTAAGCATAATTTTTTTTTACTTATTTTTATTTTTTTTTCAGAAAGTGTCCAAGTGATTTAATTGATTTAAATATATATTTTTATAATAAATTGATAAATATTGAAAGATTTTTATATAATTTTAAAACATTGTTTATATGTACATGTACATGTATATACATTTGATGAAAAAAAACATTCCAATATTTTTGTGGTTTTTGTCATTCTATGATAGTTTGTGGACAAAAGTGTGCATTTATAGATATTTATAGATAACTTAGTTGATAATTTCATTGAAATTAGGACCTTTTTATACATCCCAAATGAAGTTTAGGAATACATTTGAATTACTGTGTCCATCTGTTTTGGTGTCTATCTGTCCACCCAGCTTCTACGCCAGACTGTAACTTGGTAATGAGGAAGCTTGGAGCATGTTGCTTTTTACCAGACAGGATGTCCCTGAGTCAAGGTCATTGGAACAATTAAGGTCAAAGCTCAAATGAGTTTTTCTGATCACCCGTTGTCCATCGTCCATCTGTCTGTAAACGTTTCACATTTCAACTTCTTTTCAAGAACCACTGGGTCAATTTTAACCAAAATTGGTACAAAGCATC